TTTTTTTCCGGTTTTTTAATTAAAATTTCACATTTTTTTTTTTTTAAATAATTTGTTGTTTGTTATTTTTTTACTTATTATTTCCCACCCCCCTTTTTTTTCATATGTCTATAATTTTTCTTTGTTTTATTCTTCATTTTGAACTTATATATATATATATATATGAATTATTAAGAGTATACACCAGATTTCAAAATTTTTTTTACTAAACTTTCAAATATTTTAAACTTTTTTTTAACAAAATTTTTCATCTCAAAGTTTTTCTCTTCTCTTGATCCATTATTAAAAAAATACCAGAGTAATAGGGTCAGCATTTTAATTACAATATTTTTGTGATCTCACTTAGTAATATAAGTAATACATTTAGTATATTAACAATGCGAAAGAGTATATGTTAATAAGAAGAAAAGAAATTTGGTTCAGAATTGGAATTAGGTTCAGAATTCATCTCATTTTCCTCAGGGTTTTTTAATATGAATACACCATTTTTTTTAAATAATAATTTACTGAAAATAAAAATTTTAGAGCTACTTTTTTTTTTGTCTGTCAAGTCTTGAAAATGGGAGCCCATTTTTGAAGTGATTATCTATTGTGATTATCTATTGAATCTATTGTGATTATCTATGAAGTGATTATCTATTTGAAGTGATTATCTAATGTGAAGTATTTATCTATTTTTGAAGTGAATGAAGTTCTTAATCGTAATATCTTACCACTTCAGTGTCTTGGGATTATTTATTTAATTTAACCTGTATAAGTTTTTTTAATTTTCATTTCAATACCAACTTTTAAAACTTAAACAAAGTAAAAATATATTAAACTTTATTTACTGTCTGATCATTAAGATAGAAACATTAAAATTAACAAACTACACTTTTACAACAAAAAACAGTTAGTCAGTTAACCAAACCTAAAGGAAAGATACCAAAAAGAATAAGATTATGTAACAGAAGTTATTTACTCTCCCCTCCTAATTAAAAATATCTAAACTTATTTAAAGATAAATATTTGGATAATTCTGAATTAAAAATTAATCTAAGACAAATCCACTGACTTGAATATCTTAATTCTGTTCAATTAGAAATCTTATTTCAATTAAATAATAATTAAAATATTCGAGTTGATGACTACTTCATTTGGTAGTTAGTTAAGACACAATTATTTGCACAGTTTAATCTTTTTGAAATAAACAAACTGTACAACAAGAACAGTGTTCTTGTTGTACAACATTGTAATATAAACTACAGTTTGTGGCTGTGCTATTAATCAAAACTGATGAGTTAAAAAGGTTCAGGGGGAAAAAAAAGAAATCTTTAACATATATTTGCCTCTCCAATTATAAAATTAATAAATTAAATTATAAAAATATTACTTACTTGATTCGTATCTTTATAATTTTGCAAAGCTTGCAATAAATTCTGTGGATTCTGCTCTTGCATGATACTCAAATGAGATTCAAGGTCAGCAAGCTGAAAAATTAAAATGATATGTGAGCAAATTAAAATTAAATAACACAATCAAATCACTACATTTTGACTAGGTACATAATCAATAACAAACTCACTCTTTCTTTGAGTCCAGGCATTATGGAAAGTTCTTTTTGAAGAGCATCATTCAATTTTTCAATTTCTATACATTTTTCCGACTGCTCTTGCAAATCTTGTTCAAGGCGATTACTTTCCTATAAGATAAATAAAGAACAAAATTTACTTTACAAAGATAAGTTAATAGCCCTGCATGCAGACATTACTAAATTATTACAAATTTCACACACAACTTTCTGTAATTTTCCTTATGGACTGACTTAAATTTTAGAAGACTAAGCAAAAATGCAGTGCCAGCAAAATCTATTAAACAATTTAGTTTGTAGAAATAAATAAATGGCTAAAAACTTTAACGGAAACTAGAGTAAAAAAAAAGAGAGAAAATATGTTATTAACACCCACATTTTTTTTTCTTAACCTAAAGAAATCATTGCATAAGAAAAGAAAAACTTTTAAGAAAATAATATGTCTGCAAAATAAAATTGGTAGAGATTTGTTAAAAAAATAGTGTTGAAAATATTTCGTAGTTAAATGAAAAAAAAAAGTTTTGGAAATAAACATATAAAAATTGAATAATGCATTTAATTTTTATAGTTTTTTTAGAATGAAGTTTTAGGAATAATAGTCCACCTTTTTCCTACATAAGAATTAAAATATATATAACGAAATAAAGCATTTAATATTGTCAATAGTATCTGAGAAACTTGAAATAATTTTTTGTTCCGTTTTAAAATAAATCGTAAGTGTTAAAACAATATATAAATCGCTTAAACTAAGTTAATCGTTTTTCCACTCAAAATTTAAAATAAAAGCTTAGCAGAACAATTGAGTGAGATCTTGTATTTTAATGCTTAATAAATTCAGTTGTATTAAAGAAAATTAAATTAATGCAAGCAAAATGCAGGTTTGAAAGAATTAAAAATAAAATGAAACTCAAAAATATCACAAATTTATGAAAAAAACGATTGAATACATGCAATAAATATTACTCATCTTTATGACAGTAAATGCTCCTAGCCATTCTATTTCACATTTCAGATGTAACGAAACATAAAGACATTTATGAGTTAAACATACCTGTTCTAGTGAATTTAATCGGCCTTTCAGCTTTGTTTCTTCTTCCCGCATTGCACCAACATCATTTTGAAACTGCTGTCTCAATTTGTTACACTGTGCATTTAGAACCTCCCTTTCTTGTTGCAATTCTTCTACGAGAACTTTCGCTTGCTCTTGGTATTTTTTTTCAACTAGTCTAGAAAATATAAATGAAGAATATATAAAAAAGAAAATATAACAATGAGACATTATATTTATACTGACTAACTTCAAAGTTAAATAAAGAAAAGAAGTTATGCTTAAATGCTTATTTATCTAAAAAGGTCATAAAGTTCTTTATAGTATTAAATTAAAAATAAAAAGATTAAGGATAGCTTCATTATACGTTTCAATGGACATAACCTTGCTTGTTTGCAATTAATTGAAATGAATAAGTCGTTTTCTAATTCTCTAAAAATAAATATGAAAAAATTAGTTGTACCCAGAATAAGAAACAAATGAGATTATAGATATAATTTTAAAATATATTAACAAGTTTCATTTAAAATGATGAATTTCATTTAAAATGATTNATATATTAAAAAGTTAAAAATTTCATTTAAAATGATTAATTTTAATAAATAATTATTAAAACTGATTTAATTTTAATGAACTTACCAAAATTATTTATATAAATAATTCATAAGGAGAAAATTTATATTTACTGTAGTAGATCAACCAAGAATTTCATTCAAAATTATATGAGGAATAATAATCTGGACATTTTAAAAAATATAGGAAATTTGTACAATAATATGGATAATTTCAGCAAAAAAGAATGTTTTAAAAGTTTACATTACTGTACACATTTTTTTTCTGGTTTGTTTGGAAAGAAAAAAGTTTTAAAGCTCATAGTTCTTCCCTTCAATTTTTTTTTTTTTCCCTTCTTCCTCCTATTTACCCATTTAATGGAAAAAAAATTTATAAATAAATGAATTCCATTTCCAGTTGGCATGATTTTGCTTCTTTTTATCCCTAACCTGACAATTGTAGTAAAAAGAATTTTTAAAGCAAATAAGCAGTTAAAGTAGTTAGCAGTAAAGCAACGTTCCCAGCGTGTTATTCTATCAATCTATCAATATTCTATTATGTGCTAATTCTATCAATCTTCTATTATGTGCTAATTCTATCAATCTTCTATTATGTGCTAATTCTATCAATCTATCAATCTTCTATTATGTGCTAATTCTATCAATCTTTCGCTCTCACCAAGGCAATTTTTTTTTTAAAAATCGATCAAAAGTTTATTGATTAAAAACAGTCCCAAGAGTCTGAAAGGGTTAATTAGAATAAATGTTTGTCTACGCACCCTCCTAAATATACAAATAATTCATAAAATATCATAGGTTACGGTTTAGCAATGTTTTTAACAATGGCTAAAATAATACACAAAACATTCAAATATTAAATTAAATAAATATAAATAAAAAAAAAGACTTACATCAACTTTTTTTGAAGAGAATTCTCCAATTTTGCATGATTGTCATCAACTTCTTGGGCAAGTAGAGCTGCTCGCGTATTTGCTTCCTCCACATTGAACCTTAATTTATTTCTCTCACTTTGCATCTGATCCACAGTTTGTCTAAATTAAACAATTATTTAAAATATTTTTACAACAATATTGTTTAACAAACGCTGCAAATTTCGGTATTTATATGCTTAGTTAAGACAAATTTTTTGAATAATAGAAAAAGTTTTATCCGGAGTGATATATCTCAGTAACATTGATTGTATAAATCTTAAACTTGATATCAATTTTTTTCTCTTTAGTTATTTAGATGATTAAAGAAGAATTTTATTCCATAATTCCTCTAAGAATTACTAGTTAGTTTTTAAATGAAATTTATAGAATTTTATCTACTATTTTCAAATTTAAATTTTACTATAACTTTGGACAAACTTTATTTCATTATTAGTCTCCACTTAATTGTGTTTGAATCGTAAACAAATTTCGATCAATGAAGATGGTGTTGAAGGATAGCTCAGAGAATTCTGTCACCAGGCAAATACCAAAACATAAAGCAAAAAACAAAATTTTCTGACAACTTGAAATATAATAACAAAAATCAATATGAAGTTTCAAAGAAAAGTAAATGAAAATAAAAGGAGATCTCTTTCGGAGGTTTTAATGAATCAAGCTTTTAAGAATGTTGCACTTTAATGAATTAAGCATCAACCATAGAAAACATAACTTCAGCTTTGAAAGAAAAAAATTTCCTTATTAAAAACCATCTTATTAAACGAACTAGCAACAATTCGGTTCTTTACATACAACTGACCATAACATATTTTCAAACACAACATTTAGCTCTTGTTAAAAATGTCACTTGACACCTCTATTCAACAATTCGAAAAAGACAAAACTAAGCATTATTAGCTCTTACTTACCGAAGATATTGCAATTCATTTTGAAAAGTAATAAAAGCTAATTGCAAAATTGGTCTGTTGAGAGCATTGCAAAGGACCTCTTCAAGAACTGAGGATAAATCTGCTAAGTTAATTTTGGAACTTGTGTTAAATCCCAATTCCTGAAAAAAAATCAAGATAGAAAAAAATAAGAGAAATTCTTAAAACAAAAAATAATTTTCACAATAAATACTATATAATGTTATTTGTAAACCATTTTATTGATTTAAATTGGATAAACTATTAAATTAATGAAATTCTTAAGTCAACTTAACGGGGTCAACGAAACAAAGAAATGCTTAATGAATTACTCATAGTTCTTTTAGGGTAGAATTTTTTAAGGTGGAGTTCAGTGTTCTATATCAACCCACTTTGAAATTTCCAGCTTTGATGGATATTTTTATTTTAAACTACTGACCTTCAAAGAATTTTTCTTTTTAATTCCTTACTCTTCTACACAAGATTTAAAAAACATTGAAGAACCTTTAAAGATGAAAATTCAAATCAAAAGCTCAGCTTAAACGTAAATAAAATAAAAATAAAAAGCTGAAAAATTAACTCTTGAAAAAGATTTTGAAAATAGATTCAGTAGTTTCTCACAGAAACTACATTAAAATATTCTATAAAAATACTGTAATTAAATGTTAATTTAAAAAAAACGAAAAACATTTTTAAAAAAAACTTTTAAAATGTGCATTATAGCAAAAATAATAATAAATTGGTTTCGGAACTCTAACCAGCAATTTATCAGAAAAATTAAACCAATTTCAAAAAAATTCAAACTGGGAAAACACTAGAACCATATCAAATTTTTCAAAACTTGGATTATCCAAAACACAATAAAAAACAGCATTATATTTTGATAGGCGTATCACTAAAAGGATTATACGAGTAATACTATGGTATATTTCTTACAAAATTATTCCAGCTCTCATTTTATTACAATAAAAATGATCATCTTTTTTTTTTCTCTTTAATGTGAATCACATTAATTCCAATATTATGAATTGCCCACGAATTTTTCGCGTTAAAAAAAAATTACGGAAAGGTTTTGATCTTGGAAAAAAAATGAGTTTTTAAATGTGAGTTTCACAAAAAAAAATTTTAAAACAAAAAAGTCGTTTTGAAACTTTAATTCGGCTTTAATTAATTTAAAAAATTGGTCAAAAGTTCTAAACTACCCTAATACGGCAACACATTTTTATAAAGCTTGTTTTAAGGTTAATTGGCCGTCTTCTTATTTTTAGAATGAAAGGACCACAAAAACGTCCATTTAGCTACTATGCTAAACTTCAGACTAGCCAGTACATTCTAAAATAATTTTTTAACGCAGTGTACAATCACGACTGTATTCAGTTAACACAGCACTCCAAAAGTACATATTTTCATTATGCATAACTTCAGTTTTAACACAATGTAATATTCGCTATTTTTCAAACTTTCCACGTAAACTAACAGATTATCCACCGATTTCCCAACAATATAATCATTTTTATTCACCCTTTTTAACTCCTAAAACGATTCAGCAATGAGCGACCTTCAATTTTGGATAAGATGGAATGTATATAACAAACTTGGCATTTAACACAGGGTGTTCCGTAATCACCACCCTTAATAAATGTAATCTTTGTTAAAAATGAAGTCAATAAAGTAAATACATTCGAGAGAGCAATTTAATAACTACGCAAAGAAAAGAACTATTTGGCAAATCGGACAAATTATTAACGAAGAAAATGCAATTAAAAATAACAAAACCAATTTAAACAGATTTTAATGATTTAAATCTCACATCCGTTGTTAACAATTCGTTGGATTTTGGTAACGTTTTTCTTCACCCTTTGCACTCCGAGTACTTTAAAATAATATTTGAACTACTAAATCATGTAAGCACTAATTTAAGCACTAAATCATGTAAAATACATAATACAATATTTTTATGTAACATCTGATAATCATAAAATAATGTGCTTACTAAATATTAAAATATAAAAATTTTACATTTTAGAGTGGTGACTTTTGATGTCACCATTCTATGATGGGTCATAGGATACATCGGAGATTTAAAAAATAATTTTTAAACTTTTTGTTTATATTTTTTTACTTTATTTTTTACAAGAATTTGTAAAAATAAATATTAGAAGCGGTGATTACGAAACACTCTGCATAACACAATATCAGACAATAACCAATTGAAGTTTTAATCACACATTTTTATTGAACTTGAACACTACCGCAAACACTACTACTCAGTAATAATTAAGATCATATATACACTTAATTCACAGCTACGACACATAAAAAATAATCAAAAGTCTAGTTTCGTAGCACTCAGTTCGCTAAGTACTGAATGTTTAGCTACATTTATATATTTTACGCTACGCATTAGTTATTTATATTTTTAAAAAAAGAAAGAAAGAAAGAAAGTTTCTTTTACATTGGTTTTGTTCAAGATTTTTTTATCCTCTAATCATGTAACCAAAGACACGAGTCCTCGTAAGCACTTTTTGTCAGAATATTAAGTTCATGATGAATGACGTCAGCATTTTTTTTTTCTGTCTTTATACGTTAATTGCATTTTAAATACTTGATTTATAGCTAAAATTTATCAAAAATAATTAATTTAAAAGAAAACTGCAGCCATTGCTTGACTTTTTTGTTCCTTTTCTCACAGCCTGCTTTAGTCAATTTACATATTTATTTTTTTTTCATTCAACGAATTTTCGTGAAACACTTTTTATTTATGTCACAAATGATCTTACGCTTTTGAGAAAGGGGAAAAAATATCTTTTTTCTTCCTTAAGAATTTAAAGATAGTTTTTTTTTGTAATTTAATGGGGAAAGAAAGAAAAAAAATTTCTTCATTAAATTATTATTTAACAAATTCATACCAATAAGATTTAGATGAGGTTAATTGAAAATTGTTTTATCTAAAGAGAAACTGTGACTTAATTTATTATGTCTTTTAGCTTGCAGTAAAGACAAGCATATGATACATAAATTTTAAAATGTTTTAATTTCAAAACATATGCTTCTCTACCTTCTTTTGTTTAATTCTAATTGAAAATTTCAATCGTATTAAAGAATATATTTAAATCTAAAGGCATCATTAAACTACTACAGGAGTTACCTTAGAAGTAAAACTAAAATTAAAATAAGGTGGATAGTTTTTATGATTTTTAATGATAGCCTAATCAATCAGTTAATGTCAGTTAGCAATATGATTGTAACTCAGACGGAACAAAATTATTATGACCTTAATGAACCTCTTGAGCACGTGAAAAGTTTAGGAAAATTCTTGTTTACGGTATGTAAAATTTAGTAAAAAGAATAATAATTAAAATAATTAAAAAGAATAGTTTAAGATACTTTGTTCCAATTTTTTCCTCAAATTACCGCCAGGTTATTTCTTTTTGTTGGTGCAAACTTAGTTGCACTACATAGAAATAGGCCACTTCTCCAAAAGTGAGAACAATAATGTTAACTAAAGCTAATTTAAATTCTCACTTAATACTTGTGTTATATACACTGTAAAATAAAAGCACACAACTTAAACAAAATACCTTTCGATTTATAAAAAAAATTAACACTATATATAAAATTAACTTATATATAATTAACATTATGTATAAAATTAACTTATATCATCTAAGTTTAGGATATTAAATTATCTAAAACAATAAAATTAATGTGAAAAAACAAACAATCGTAACGCGATTTAAACTATTCGATATTTCATGTGATAAGGAAAATGGCAATTGGTTGCAAAAATATTGAAAGAGAAAAAGAAAATATTTTCACATATTTAAATAAAAAATTGTAAGAATAGATAACAAAGTTTAAAGCACTTTCTTAACATATTTTCTTATAAAATGATTTAGTTGTTTCAATAGTTACGTTTGGACATGCATAACCTTACAGTGCTGCCATTTGTTAAAGTAATCGTTCATTCGAAACTTAAATTCGCTCATTTTCATTTTGAAATATCTAGAAACTAGCCACACAAAAAAAATATTTATTTATTTATTTACGCAGTTAGCAATGGGAATATTCAAAATTGACTCTCATGGTTAAATAATATTCTTAACACTTTCGTCGCCTATCACGCGATATCTTGAGACGAAATTCTTCCCTGCGGTTCGTACTAATAAAACAGATCATAATGGTAGCAAGAGGCACATTAATCGTCCAACTAGTTTTGCAATAAATATGCCGTTTTTTCAAGACGATAATACATTGCTTATTAAAATTAATTTATTGTAAAATCTAATGGTTGCTAAAACACGAAAATTTAACCCTGATTTTAGCATAATAGAATACCATTCTTCAATGATAGATATAGTCTAACCACCAGTACTAGACTGGCAGTGAACGTGTTAAGACATGTATAGAAATGTTAATTAATGCCACGATTCAGAATTATAAGCTTACTTTATAGATTTAAACTTATTTAGTAATATCAGTTTTGTACTTTGATTAGTTATGTAGTTAGTTTTACATTGATATCAGTTAGCTACAGTTTAGCCTTGCTGTCGGAAATTTAGATCGATGTTATGATCCCACTCATTAAGAATTGCTTTGGTGTCATTTATTTTCAGATAAAACGGCCGTCCATTTATTAAAGGGTGAAAACCTTATTTTTTTTTTATTTCAAAACTTTATCTGCATAAATATTAAACAGCTCATTACAGCTGAAAGACTTATCAATAAATATAAACCAATATTCCGCAAGATTATCAAATCTAATTTATACGCTAATCTCTTGAAATAAGAAAATCTTGGTATCGATCCGAAATTCAAACCCAAAGTGAATTCTCTAAGGGGGGAAAAAGGGTCTTAAGTTTTTAATTTAAAAAAAAACTTTAAAAGAAAAATAAAACTTCGCACGAGGCAGGATTATTTATCGAATCATAGACCAAAAAAAAGAAGAAAAAAAAGGTTAGTACATGTTTCACAACTTAATTCTTGAACTTGTCGCAGCTTTTTAATGGCTGATTAACTGAGAGAACAAGCCATCACAGATAAAATTTAAATATTTAAGCGAAAGTAACCTTAATTACAAGCAAAGATAATCACCGGAATGAAAGAAGCAACACAAAAAATTACCCAACGCAGAATTATATCA